AAGATGAGTACTCATCAAAATCGTACGATAGACTTTCGGTATGATTATTAATGCCACCACGCCCGCAGGCTCGGGTCAAAGTGCACCTGCAAAGTTGTCTCCCTTTAAAGTCACCAAATTAAAAACTACTCACGAATAAGGAGAAAAATGACAGCAGCGAGCGATTGTTAATATTCTCGACTGTCAGAAACACTCGCACATCAAACGATTCAACGGCCCTGCCTTGAAATTACCGCAGAGGCTCCAGGCAGTGGGGTCTACAAAATCCGACGCTCACGATGATTTTTTTTTTTCGGCTGGGGCAAAATTACGCACGAGGACGGTTCGCGTGCTCCATTTGTCTCGAGAGCTTTTGAGTGTCTGTTCTCATACTTTCGACTGTTAAAAGGTTAGGTAGGTTTACGTGAGGTGCGTGGGTCTGCTGGTAAGATTAAATATATACCTGGGGTGCCCGATCAAATGCTTTATACGAACTGAGAGAAGCCAAACAAAAGTACTTTGAAATGGTGTGTTATGGCGTGTTTTATGATATTTTTTATTTACTTGAACCTTTCGTCTATCAAGTCGATTTAAATTTGATAATAAGTTAAACATTTTTATTCAGGGTCTTATTAATAATGTTGACTTATCCTGTTTGATATGAATAATCGAACCAGGAAAAGGTTCGGTTTCCAGTGGTACAACACATGGACGGAATACTAAGGATCGCCGACGTTACAAAGTCAAAGAGTTCCGCACGACGGATATTTCTCTGGAAATGAACCTCATTTGGTATGTTGAACAGGGATTCGTTGTTTCGGCGCAAGTGCAGTGCAACATAAATGCATTATGCTATTCTTTGATGGCGCACAAATGCCTCCAGCTTTGTAAATAATGAATGTTAGCAGGAACACGCATCGAGTAATCCACCACAGAGCGCTGTATTTTATGTCTCAAACGACCCGTGTCGTCGTTGATATTCTTTTCCCTTTTTTCTTTGGTTTTTCTGTCGTTTTGTGTGACAACATATCACAAAGATACCACCAAATCTTGTCACAGATTCCACAGGAGCCAATTTCAACATTCCCATTTTTCTCTTCATATCCCGTCCAGCGAAAACATACTCAAGTATAATAAATTTACAGTCATGTTCATGACTTCAGTCGTGGCAACACAGTCCATTGTATATCTCCAGTGTGTATTGTGTACAGGCCGAAATAAAACACGCTGTTTTTTCCGTTTCTGAGTGCGAACTGACGCCTTGGACGACTGAGAATACGGCTGCACAGTTGGACAAACAAAAATGGCGAGAAAATTCACATACAGGAGAATGAAAAAAAGAATACCTGCCCGTATATCCAGCTTTATAGAGAGCAGAATATTTTTAGGCGCTGCGACAAGGCGGGTATACGACTCGCGGGGTTTGCGTGGAGAGGTTGCCTCACGAAGACTGACAATAACCAGTGGGTAACTCTGATCATTCAGAATCAAAGATGATAATAAAATTAGCGGGCGGAATCAGGTCTACAGGCCAGCTCTTGCGGGTCAGACTCGGCGGAGTTGATTCGGGATTAGGTCCACGCGATGACCCTGCCCGTAGTGTGCGCGGAGCAAAATATATAGGCTGCTGGAGTTTCAGAGAAATTGGGGAATAAATTTTGGCGGGAATCAAATTTATTGCGGTACCTAAATGCTACATGTTTTTGCTTTGTTCTTATGGTATAAGTCACGTCGATGAGTTATAAAGAAAGTGCGAGTTTGTTCGGTTAAATAATCACAGTAGATGAGGTGTCTAAATTTTGTCATGGCATAATCAGGTATATGGAGGATGATAATTTGTAGATGGGGAAAAGAATTTAATAAGGTAAAGTCGTCAGTGAGGATAGTGACAATTTTGTTGATAGGTCAAAAGGGTCACTGTGATGACCATGATGGCAAATTTAACGACTATAAATAACGATAAATATGAAGGCGATGATGACAAGGCTACTCCGGGCTATGTCACGCTAACAGCTTAATTAACTGTCACGTTTAGTATATAGGACTTCCATGAACATCAGCTGTGCATTCGGTTCCATGGTGGCTTCCATGTTTGGACATGCATATATGTGGCATCTCCATTTCTATTTCATTAAACCTCGTTGCAGTCTGACTTAACTCCACATGTTATTGAAATCGCGCCGCATCAAACATGCTTCAACATGTCCAATCTTTGTCCTGCTAAATAGCACCGTACGTCAACGCACTCCATTATTCCATCATCTAGCACACAATTTCATTTCCCGTATCATGTCAATGTGGACAGGCGAATCATCGCGCGTATTACGGTGCTGCCCCGCTCAAAATGGAAAAGAGAGTCATTTCTATGCAAATGACTCGCTCGGCCGTATTTTGTGAACAATCACATGCATGTTACGGCCCCACAGTTTGCATACTAGCATAATCTATTAATCAAACAAAATCTCGCCCGGCTCATTGTTTGTCTAATCTCCCAGTAGACGAGATTTGGAGGGCGAAGAGTAGCCTAGTTATTGGGTGATGGCATACCATCGGCCATGTACACAATCATTATGTATACAGCAGCAATGTATACGCTGTGAACAGTGTATGAAATCCGCGGTTTCCTTTATGACGTGAATCAAAAGAATGCGTCATGGCTTGGTCGATATAGCACATTTTGACGAATGTAATACAATCATATGAATTAAATTAAACATTTACATATTTTGGTCATCCCGGCTTTAAATACAAATTCAAATAATTTTATTCGAAAAATTGTGGTTTGACTTTTTTCAGTTTCATTTTAGGAATACAGATTTATCAACTGAAATTATATTGCATGACACCAAACCCAATGCACAAGTAAAGGAAATAAAGGGGCGCTCTTTGAAACAGCGAAGTATAACACCCTTCCCATGTCGTTATACCGTAATTTCTCCATTTTGCCTAAGCGGCGTATATCTTTCGGTTGGAGTGCAAGTAAGCTGGATTATAAGGGAACGGAGACTTATAACTCAGGTAACAAACATCTGCACGCACAACCACTTCCCAGGGGAGAAAGAAAGAAAGCACTGGACTCAATGCTGAATAAGCTTAATCGAATATGCAAGCCGGTAGATTTTTGTAACTTAAATGAGGTTAATATGGCTTGAGCTGAAATGAGGCTCATATGACAAGAATTAATATGTAAAGATGATGTGACATGGGGGTATTTATGAGGCTTGTGACATCGCTGATGTGACATGAGGTTACACGAGGATTTAAACTCAAGCCTGTATATTTGCTTTTAATATGAGGTGAATACGAGTAAGAGACATATTACCCAGGGTGTATGGGGCTGGCGTAGCGTAGGACTAGGCCTATATCAAGCTGGTGTTAAACTGAAATAACGAAATGTTATGAGGCTGATGACTCGATCTGGTGATGGCTATAGTTGCAACCTCGGTGGATGAGTGAAACTCACGGGCTTTCCCCTAATATGATCTCGTCTAATACTGAAAAGTGTGCTGTTTTGCACACTTACGGTTTCCTTTTGAAAGGGAACCAAACGGTGTTCGTCGGTCAAAGGACCCTGGAGTCAAATCTATGCACGTGAATGTGCCGTCGTTGATTGCGAGCTTTAAGTTCCATTGCAATTATTTGGGGGAAACACGTCCCTGGCAAAATCAAGAATTCACTCGGCGGCCAAGGGCTATATATATATAGAGGGTTTGCGTGGCTGCCAGCTTGCAGGCCAGTCCTTTTGTTCCAAAGGGTATGCACAAAGGAAGTTTCCCTGTGGAACAAAAGACCTGTCCTGCAAGATGGCTACAGCGCAAAGCCTCTATTGATACTAACACACCCGTCAACACTGACTCGACACAGAATGATGCCCAACGTTGATCCCGCAATGCGGTCCGAAAACAATTCTCCTTGGAGAAATGACCGTATGATTTCGAGGAAATAACGGTTACTCCACAACGGGTGAACCTTGAGTAAAAAAAAGGCTCCAAACTGCTGGGGAAAACCAATGCCTAAGATTTTAAAATGAAGCTTGAAAAGAGTTCCTGTGGTCATTATACTCGCAGCAAACTGTACACACTTTAGTCTAAAGAGAGTCCTAAAATGTCACAACTTAGCTATGATCCATTCAGATCTGTTAGTTTTATTGATAATCTGGGGGCGGGGTATTCTTCCTTCGGGGGGGTACAGCTCAAACGATGAACAGATATAGAAGAACACTAGCATCGATCACTGCATTCTAAAAGACCCTGTAAGTTGAACACAAGAGAGGGCTTGTTGTTTTATACTTTTTTGACGTTGAGGCGTTCGTCATTGATATCTGTCAGGTGTAATATTGCCTAACGAGCATCATCAAATGGCGTAAAGGTAAGCCCCAATTGACTCAGATTGTTTCCGGACAGAGTGCTAGAGGCACAAGAACACTCGCAAATTTCGGATCTTACGCGCAGGCTCCGTTTGATGAATCCGCGCTTTGGTATAAAGTTGAGTGGATTACAGACGGCATTGTGTTGGGGGATCCCAAATTAATGGGATTGGCAGCGCACAGACTGGGAGAAGTAATTTAAAGCATATTTGTCAAAAGATGATCGGTATATCAAGAGGTTTGATTATTTCCGTTTGAAGTCCTATTTAGGAAAGTGACAATCACATCCTTCCCCAGATCTGAACAAACTGTTACCAATTGCGATCCGAAATGAATAGGCCTCAAGTCAAAAACTGCAAACCAACTACTTAAATAGAACGGTTTTCAGCAAAATCCGAACCGTATCAGCATGTTTAATTTTAATATGAGAATAACGCAAACGTTTTGGGATCTCGAGGTATTTGATTTTTATTTCGATGAAAACTGTTTGTGACCTGATGTGGCTTTCGTAAAGGTACCCTGTCTTGAACACATCTGCCATGTTGCGTCAAGATTTTGTGCTGTATACCTACCCACGACCTTTAGAAAGTGCTATACCTAGAACAGACACCGTAGCTATACAAACGCAGACACGGACAAACAGTCTTTTTTTTACCTCGTGTGCAGTTTAGACAGAGCCAGTCTTGAGGAGAGTATTCCGTGTAGCAAGTCGCGCAGGATATGCACGCATCGCCGTCCAGCGTCCGCACCGTGTTTATTGGGCAGTCCCCGTCTTCCGTCAGCTGAATCTTGTAAGCGGCAGCCGGGGTACCCAGGCAAAGAAGACCGGCCCAAACCACCAGGAACACCGCTGTCGTGGGGAGGGCACGACTGGTCATCCTCAGCTCTGGCAACACCGTTCGAGAAGAGAGGGAAACCCAAAGTCCGGCTCTTCGACCACGCCGATAGTGACTGTGGTTCTGGAGAGAGTTGTCAGGCGGTAGTCCGTGGCTTGTGGCTCCTGGCGTGGTCATGGCCAGTCCAGCGCGTCACACCCCGTCTGTTTCCCCTGCAGGACTCGCTCTTCTGCCTCCAGTACCTACATCACATCAAGACGAACAGGTCTCGTTAATTCCGATCATAAAGATGATGATGATGACGATAAGTGAGCGTCGGCACACAGTTAGCCGATTAACGATGCTCTCTGCATCTTTAAGCAAGGACGGGTGGCCTTTGAAAAACGAACCATTTGGAAAACATCGAAGTATGGTCGCAGTCGAAATGGCAATAGGGTCGGGTTGTGATGCACGAGAGTTGGAAGCGCATCCTCTTTGCACACTACACTAACAATAAACGCTTGCCCATCGTTATGCAGGCGCACACGCGGAACTTTTTTTTATTAATTAAAAGATACCCGGGTGAATGGTTTGCATCGGCTGTTAACAGTGACCACACACACGGGATAAAGCTCTAAGCCCCGGTCATTGGCCGTTTTGACGACACGATGCATCGGGAGGTACGGTGTGTAGCTGGCAGGTACGTACTACGCACAGGCGCTGATTTCGCTCGCATAAACAGATTTGCACTAATTCGATTTTCCCTCACGTCCGCGGGCCACAATAAAAGAAAACTTCAAAGCAGATGATCCTTTCCTATCTTTATGCGATGTTGGCAAACAGGGCCTTTAAATCATTACCATTATTACGCTTTCAAATGAATAGTATAAAATCGCACCACAAGTTTTGGACGGACGAAAAATCACTAACGTTATGTCTATGTGGTCATGTAACAATGATGGATAACAGTTTGCCGAAAAGTAGCCACAGCCGGGAACTTACTCATAGGTATCCAGTCTAGAATGTCACGCAACGAAATGGCCCATACTAAATGCAACGCTCAGCAAGCCGAGGCTCTGGTCAGGCGTCTATGCACGGTGTTTCCCACAACGGCACGCCTAACGTTTAACCTTTGGTATTTTGAGGAGTCAAAGCAAAACCTGTTAGGTTTTGAGCAAAAAAAACCTGTTGTGTGTGGATTTTCCAATAATCGTAAACCGAAGTGATTTACGCAAGGTTCTTTTTTTTATTCCGTCCAGCTGGCGCGTGTTTTAATAAGAGCGCTGTGCCTCTGCGTCGGATGTTCGTACAAGGTCCCTGACAACAGCAATGCACCACTGCCAACAAATAACACGACGTCTTATACTTTGAATGTACAACGTGTGGGCCTCGCAAATGTTGCTCTGTGAAAACGCAGTCAACTGTACACGACAAGGCGTAGCTGTCGAACCATTAATAACGCGACAGTGAATTAAATTTAGCTTTATTTTGTTTCTTGGCGGCAATAGCTTTATGCGACAAACGTACAACATGCATAGCCTAACTTTCTTTGCACAAGGCATTACTGGAATGCATTTCTCCCGTAACAGTGTTAAAGCACATCATGGTGGAATGTTGGTGTCTTTTAGTCAGCACGCACGCATTGATCTAGATTGTACATGATTTCCATATTTGATTTTTATACAACCACACCAACGAAAATGTACCCATATAACGGTAGTTCACACACTGTCACTGCGAATCATTTACTCGGCTGTTATGACATGCAGGTGTATACCCGCATAACCGCTCCCTACACTTTCAGCGAAGGGAATGACTTGATGTTTCAGATCACATATAAACATCACAGACCTTTTAGAGCACAGCCTTACAGGCACTGCACGTGCGATTCTCCCCGGAGTCCATTGTGCCCGATCGCCTGCTTGGTGCCCCCCTCCGCACGGTGTTTTCTTTTCACTGATGATGTGGATGAGGAGAATAATGACGATGGTGATGAGTATCTGCCTCGTCTGTATCACCCATTAGCTAAAAGCTCCAGCCACGTCTCCAGTTTCCCTCTCGTATTTGGCACACCGGTTCTTTTTTTTTATGATGGAAGGGGAAGGTTCGGTATTCCTGGGATGGCTCTCGGCGAATTCTCCTCATGCACCGGGGAATGACTTCCCCCCATATACTGTTTTGTTTTTCCTTCTGGAGTCAGCTCCTCACGTCTTCAAACCCTCCCGCCACTGAGCCTGGACCCAGACAGGCATGACGGAGGATAATGAAAGCGCTTACTCCTTCGGGCACTGAGACAGAGAAAGAGAGAGGGAGAGCTCTATGCTGCTTGCCTTCTCGTCAAGACCGAGGAGTGTGAGCGAAATCCCTCATGAGATGGAAATCCTCTACCTAGACTGACCTTACAGGCGACAGACTGAGCCCGTGTGCAGATCAGTGTGTGACTTGCAAGACAACAACTCCCAAGGACCCGAGGGGTGTGAACACAGTGGCAAACTCCAGCCAGTAGCCGTCATCATTGATAATACCCTCTCTCGTGAACATTAATAACGTCGCCGTACACACATGTAAATATTCATTGCGATATTAAATGTCAAGTAAATAAATAAAACAAAACAATAAACAAAGAGGTCAAATTTTCAGCTCTCTAAAGACCTCTTGGTGAGAATAGACGGTGTAATACTTCTCTTTGAGCTTAGCACCTTAACATTATTATGAAATGACCTTTTGCAAGATATCAACTCATAAATATTTACGACATAGATCCATTAACATCATCAGTAAACTGGCGGAGTTCTACTCCAATTAGAAAATGGTGAAAAATTAACAAAATTATTCACTGCGCACTTTTTATTCCAGTGCAAAGCGTAGAGTCCGTGTGAACCTTTTGCATTTAAAAACCAATTCATGCTAAGTCTCCTTTTAACACCGAGACGAGCGGCAGTCAATCGTCTGGCGGTTTTCAACTTTACAAGATAAACAGGTGGGCAGTTGAGTGTTTGTGGATCCACATTCTGCACATAAAATGTTGAAAAGGGGACCAATGAACTCGAGGTTTTAGTCAATTTTGTGGGAATCTGCATCGCTGGAATAGGCACTAAATTTCACAGGCACCCGTAATTGCGGAAAAGGAGTAAAGTGAAATTTGGATTAACAAGCATCGGATTGTGAAATCTGATGCATGTAAAACTTCAACATTTAGGTACATTTTCATTGAAACTTGAATCCCTCCCCCCCCAGCTCAGTCGTTAATTCGATTCACGGTAAAATCCAACAGGCATCCCCGATGAGGCAAGTTACCTCTTGGATCCTGAATCAATAGATATAGTCCGTAATGGGTCTGCAGTGTCCTTGATAACAATCCCCCCTACGGATATGCTTCTAAAAACCGTCCGCAGCATGGATCCATGACACGCTGGTGGCGCAACACGCACTTATCAGTGTGTTGGTGCAGACTTGTACGTAATTGTTCCAATATCAGGTTACTGTGACGCGCCATTTCTGCGTCGTGTTTTCTGTCTGCAGCTCGCGTGCTTCGATGTTTGGGTGCAGAAATGTTTACTTTTTGTCGTCTGAATGATGGAATAGTAAACCAGATCGAGCCATTAGGTGTTTCTTTTCCAGTTAGACGTACAGCTAAAGTGACACGTTAAAGAAAGCGACGAGTCACTCCATCAGTTAGTGCCACCTGGGCGAAAAGTGTCCATTTGTTGCAACTTTGATGCCATTTTTCACCCATCCAAGATGTGAATGAGTGTTCTTGGATAACTTGCAGCATTGCGGATGACCTGAATTACACATATTTTAGCAGCAGCATGTTATAAATCTATCTATATTTAAAAACTGAACTGAAATTCTTGATCACAAACTGCTGTGCAGTAAGCACTATACTTTCGGAATGTTGTTATTCTACAAAGCCAAGCTAGCACGAAATTAAAAATTTCATCAGGTCCAAACCTTTGGTACTAAAGTTTTGATGAAATAACCGAAAATCCATTACATGGCTTCCCTGACCGAACGACAGGGTTCTCCTCCATCTCAGCGGCCTAGGTCTTTATTGATCAGCCTTTCTGGGTGACGTGGCATTGAGTTGACGGGTACCGTGTTGAGAGGGGTGCAAGGCGCGGCGTTCTGGGCTGATTGCGAAAAAGCACTCCGCCACGGGATGGCGATCTCGAAGAAGGACTCAGAGACTTTGATTAATGGACAAGGGAGATTGATTAAGACAAGCGCAAGGACGGGGGGGTGACGGCCTGAAAAGGAGAGAATCTCCCTGCACTGCAGCTTCCCGCCGTTCTGGCTGTCCACGGACTAAGGAACGTAGGGCCTGTTCGTTTCACATCACGGTCGGTGAACCCGAAGCAGGTTCGCTCCACCCATTAAGCGAGTCAGTGAGCCAACGTCGGATCATTGATCGCGACCCGGATCCGTGTGCCAACAAACGGACCCAAGATTACGGGATTCCTATACGAAAACCGGTACTGCACGCTGTGCTGCGGTTTTCATAGACAGCTTACTCCAAATGCCTCCAGTTGCAGCACTAAAGCCTCATTGCTTTGCTGACTATTGTATAAAACAAGGAAAGGTTCAGTGGCAACCGTCCTAACATATGACAATTATTGTAGAACGTCCCACCAAAAGGACGCCATTCGCTGCTGATGCAAAATCGTCCCGATGTACATGTACATGTATATGCGTGGATACCAGTCTATAATCGTACGCAATTACGCATGCTGCTGAACATTCATCAACGATTTATTGCATAAGGTTGCTTGACTGATATGGATTTCCCAGTAAGCCTGCACTTGTATAATAATCCCGTCATTGATTATAACAAAACTGGTTTAAAAACTTCTTTTGTTTCAATGGGTGTTATAAAAACTTCAAATTCAGTCGTACCTGTTGGTTTTCATGTAACGTTTGACCCTGAAAACAGGCATCTTTAAGGTATAAGTGAACTCGGCTTTTAATTTAGCGTGAACAAGGTACAAGCAAAGAGGTCGAGCCCACACTCCAAACACTTCCAAAGTACAACCTTTTTTCCACCTTGGGCAAAATGATTGCTGATGTACTTTAAAACTTGTGCCAGTGGTTCTTTCCAATGATATTGGCAGGGTCCACTCTGTCGTCGTACGTCTCTTGAGTGAGTGGATCGCGAGGGATTTCGCTTCTCATCTTTCCCACCTGATCCTCTCCCCTGACCCCTATCACGCCTCCGCGCCGGGTAATGGACAGCGGGACCCGACCAACGCGATCAGGCGGGAAACCCGAACCGCCACTTTCTCCAGATTGCGGCCCTGGCGGAAGATATTTAATGAAATTAAAAGGATATGAGCTCCAGCCGAGGGAGTGATTTGGGCAAAGGATTCCATAAATAAGCACTGAATGTGGCGTTCTTCTGCCTTTCCAAACATCTGTTCACCAATGGAGGAAGATCTACAGCGGCAGTTTTTTGCAATATTAAATGCAACTGTTTAGTCGAATTGTTTCAGTTATCTGTTGTATTTTTGTCCTTAACGCAAAAAAGTTTATCATTGCGGTGATCTCTGGAAATAGCCGTTCAAGCCTCCAGCAATAGCTCTATGAACAAGGGCGACCAACACAGAACGTGAGACCTCAGCGTTTCTCAGTAGGAAACACGTTTCCTGAAGACTTCCATTGGAACTTTAAAAATGTTGGCCATAGAACTTCAGAAAGTCCACTGGCGAACTTTATCGCCGATTGACACGGGGTGGTCACCCGCTCATAAATCTCCTGTCGGCTTTGTCACATCTTTCGGTTCAGAGGGGAAAAAACGTAAAGCTTCCGGTAAAACACTGCGGGGTCACGCTGACAATCCAGGCATGAGAAGTGACAACCCGACATTTTCAAGTGCGCACACCTCCGTTTCTTTTACCCCTTGCACTCATTCCTTTCCTTTCCAGCGATGAAATTAGTCTTCTCGCCTCTGCGGCCGTTTCTGTCCCGCCGAAGGCCGGCAGAGTAGGGCCCGCCAGCACTTAGACCATCACTGAGTACGAAGCAAAGATGCGGAGGTAAAGAATTGATGGAGTTGCACTACGCTTCAGTGACCGCTCGTCTGTTGTTGACACTCGTCTGCATTCCTCGTCCATCTGTATGCAGTCGATGGATGCATTCCAGCATGAGTTGTACCTGTAGTCGAGGCATTTGGTATTCTAAAACAGAGACCAAGCTCAGTATATCATACCTTCCACTTTTCTACAGATTTTTATTGGGTTAACTGCAATCATTCAAACATTTTTTTGCATGATGTGGAAGTGCATCTTATCATACTTAATTTGAGGGAACAACAGTGCATCCCCTTTATATTATGATTTAATTGTGTGCGTGTGTACAAACCGTACCTACGTGTCAACAGATGCAAGAATGGTTTTACGTATACAATATGCGCAGCCATTTGTGCGTCCTCAGCACACAACCAACGTGTCGTCCCCGTCCGCCAGGACTGTTTTTCTTTCAATACCGGTAATTTCCTGATAATACGCACCAGCCCATCAGTCTCATCAAGGCTTGACCAAAAAAAATACACCCTCCGTGTTTACGCCACCACGGCGGGCCGGGGATATGCGCCCTGTGTTTGGATAACTTTGCAGCTGAACTCGACGACGATTCCTTCCCCCGACATTGTTGTTCCTGTAACTCGTCGCCCGCAGCAATGTTTGCTTTTGCGAGGAGTTGTACGGTTCGCGTTAATTGAGGGATCAACAGATACCTATAAATCGTCTGTCCGTATCTATCGGTAAATAGAGAGTATCTGCAAACATTTCGAATGCCTGCCGAATATACACAAAGTCATGTTTGAAGGCAATTGTCACAGCAATTTATGGAATTTTTTTTTAATATGCCAGGTAGGTGTCTGTTACAGGATAAAAAATTCTGAGATGTAGGAATTAAAAATTGCACGACTGTAAGAATTGATCATATATCTTTCGCCCAGAAGTACGAATTATCTGCACATGCACTGATTAGTGGGAGAAACGGTACTGTCCTATGCTTCATTCTTTGCGCTATACACCAGTGCGCATGGACATTAAATTAAAAAGAAGGTTGTATGTTGGTCGATTCTAATGCGACAAAATGTCCTCTTCGGCCGGCCTTTTTTCTCACAACGGCAAACCAGGTGATGTTATTACTTTGTGTGATGTTATTTTGGAGTGTACCGTCCTGCCGATGTGCAAACGGTTTTCTGCCATTTGCTAAGAGATCGATCAGCGATTACGGTGACAGAGCAGCATTAACAGAGGCGCGCGGACCTCCGCTTAGCGTACGTCGGCAACGCGAGTACTTCTGTCTTGCCATCACGGGCTTGTACATGTAGATGCTTCGCACAGTGATCTCGAGCATTACAGCGTTGAAGATTCAATTCGGGTAGATGCCCCTTCTGTTCCGTTCACCGAATCTGCGGATGACAGGCCGAGAATGACGACAGATGATGCGCGATGCAACACCCCCTCT